ATCGATAATAAAACATTAAAAGACGAGTCAGAGTTCAGTCTAGTATACATGAATATATATGTCAACTGATTGAATATAGTATTTAGTGCCTTTAGAAATATTGAATGGATATTTGTTATGGATGCTTAAGGCACCATGGTATGAAAACAATGGAAATTACACAATATGGAGAGGTATGCTAAATTATGAATTTTTAATTGATAATATACTTTTCTTAAATTGCATTAAGATATGTTTTAAAATGTGTTTGTGTTGTTGTATTACTATATTTTTTATTAAGTTTTTAGAACTCACCTCAAATCAGAATCCTCCCAGATGATTTGCAAGGTCTTCTAGTTGAGCCTTGTTTGGATCATTTTCACGAGAGCTAGGTGTTAAAAAAAGATCTTTTGACTTCTGTTTGTGAGGCCAGTTATATGTAAAAGATTGATCATCTTTAATCTTGTAAATGAATAGTAATAGCAATTATTGCCTCAATATACTATTTCTATATATATTTATAAGGGATGTAAATTTTACAATTATTTATTTAACTCTCTTTTATCTGCTTGTTTGGACATTGGTGTCTGATTGACATCAGGACGTCACATCAATTACCAAAAGTTTTCTTCTTTCAAATTCTAATTTCTACCTTAAAGAATTCTACAAAAAAACAAAAAAAAAAAAAAAAGTCCAAGATCCAAGAGAAAGAAGAAGAATTCAACAAGAAGAGGAAGATCAAGTCCTTGCAACATTCGGACAAGAAAGTCCTCTTCTTGCTGAATTCATCATCATATCTCCTACTCCAACACCGCATCCTTCAAGCTTTTCCAACAAGGATTCCTCTCAAGAAACTAATAAAGAATAAGGAAGCCCAAACCGATTACATAAAGGAAATCAAGGATAGGAAGGATTCCCATTCCGCCAAAGAGAGAGACAAGTTATTTTAATTATTTTCTTGTTTCTTTTATTAGTATTTTCATGTTTCCTAATTTAAGTTTCATTAAATATTTAATTAAAATTTCAATTTTTGAATTCTGGTAGTAGTAGTAGGTAGCTTTTTGCTTATATAAAGAGACTTAGTTCTAGGTTTTATTCATTTTAATTTAGGTAATTTATAATATTCAAGTTTATTGCTCTTAGTTTTTTGCTAATTGTATTGTGAGTGTTCTTTAAGAGGTTGGCTTCAACCATCTTATTAAATGAGTGATTGATTCAACTTATTAAGATATTTTTCTTGTAGAATTTTATTAATCTATCTTGAATTGATTTTATTTATTAATAAATAATTCTTATGGCGTTTAAGCAATTCAATCTTTATTTCAATTACCTCGGTTAACATTCACAGGTTGAATGTAAATCAAATAAGAAGAGTTTGTTAAGAGTTTTAAAATTTTGAATATTGATATTATATGCAGAATTTTTTATCACAATATTGGTCTTAGTTCTAAATCAAAAATGTTTAGCAACATAAGAATCAAGAAGAGTCTTTATCTTTTTTTTCATGAATTTCTATCAGCATACAATTTTGATTAACTTAACGATTAGGTAGTTATTGGTTCCTCTATTGCATTTTAGACTGCAAAATAAAGCACATTAGACTTAATTCTAAACCATTAAGATGCCAATTGCAGTCCTATAAATTGTTGTTATGGTAGTGAATAATAATAGCTTTATTCTTGGAGAGGGAAAAAATTCCAAAGCTATAAGTATGATCTAATACCTTTCCACCAAAAAATAGTCTTTGTTTATTCTAAAACATTTTAAAATATATAATTATTATGCTTCCAACCACTTTAAAATACTCCAACAATTTCTCCAGTTAACAGTTCGAATCCTTGTAGAAGAGTAAATTTGGATACTGACAAGAACATTTAAAAAAAGAAAAAGAAAAACAGAAACTACAAGACAGAACATACAGAATAAGCAGAGGATATTCCAACTAGATTACAAAAACATCTCAAGTCTGAAGTAGCTAAATAAACTTCCACGTTGTTTGGCTCAAAATTCAACTGCTTCTACCACAAGAAGAAGATTAACTGAAATTTCAGCAAACAAAATGGAGTTTGATTTGAGCTTAAATTTCTTCCTACATTTCTATGTGACACTGGATCTACCTGTTGAAAATGAAATAAACCTAACTTCAATTACGTTTGAAAATACCAAACCCAAAAAAAAAAGAAAAAAAATCAATGCAAGAATGAAGTCTACCTGTTATATAGTTCGCTACCGCTGACTTTTCTTCCACAGTCCACCTATCCTTTTCAACATGTTCCCGTTTTTCTTCTTGGGTGACTCGTCATCCATATCGTCTGAGTAAGGTGAACCAATATACCCAGTTAATGGGCTGTAGGAGTTGTCAAAGGTACCAGTTTTCTCTACATGTTTCCCATTGTTTGTTGTTGAGAGCATAGCAGCAGCAGCTTCTGCTGCCTTCCTCCATTGATCTGACTGCACCTTTAACCTCCTTAGTTCACCCTCCAATTCTGCATTGGTTGCCTGGGCTGCAACTAGCTGCTCGGTAAAATGTGCTACTTTTCTGCTACTGTTATCTGCTTCCTCGGTTAAGGAGTCAAGTTTCGCCAAAGCCTCCCTCTCAGCAGCTTGTGCTGCTTCTACTAAAGCTATAGCTTCGTCATTGACTTTATTACTCTCCAGCTCCCTCTTCTTAATTTCCACCTTAAGCATTTCATTGTGATCACTTGTACTATGCAGCTCGATGTCCTTCGCCAACAAACTGGCCCTCAACTCAATCAGATCTGCCTCTAATTTCTTCACTTCTTTCACAAGTTCAGATTCCTTTTCACTAGGCTGGTCTTTTCCCATCTTCACATTCAATCCCTCATTTTCCTCCATGATACTCTGCAATTCAGTTTCTTTATCCATCAGGTTTGCTCTCAACTCATCAATGTGAGCTTTGGTTTTCTTTAATTCTGCCTCCAGTTCTGCCTCTCTTTGGCATGAATCTGACTTTACACGTTCAACCTGTTCATAAGCACTTCTAATTTGCAATGTTCTCCGCATGTATTCTTCCTGGTACCTAGTCTCTGCAGCATCTAATGCAGATCTTAACTGTTCAACTTCAAACTTCGCAAAATTAAGCTCCTCTTTGAGCTGGTCCATTTCCTTCCTCTCACTATCAAGTAAAACTTTGAAATTATCTGGAGGATCCACTGATTGTTTGCTCGCTCCACCAACCAGATTTGCCTGGAGTTTACTTACTAGTTCCTCCAATGACTTAGCTTGCATTTTGGACTGCTCAAACTCCAGTGATATAGTGTTGTACGCCTCTGCTGCTTTGTTGTTATTTGCATGCAACATTTCTATGGTTGCATTTGCTGCTTCCAATTGCATTTGGGTTTTGCTAACAACTTCATGAGCCCGAGTCTCAGATTCCTTACAATCATTGAGCTCAGTTCTCAATTTTTCAACAAGAGAGATTATTTCGGAAAGTTCAATTCTTAGGTTCTGAATCTCAACATGTGCAGATTCTGCATGCTTACTTTGGACAGCTTCAGATTCAGCAACCTTGTTCAACTGAACCTTGAGCTTCTGGATTTCACTCATGGCAGAAGCCAATGCAGCAGAATCCATTGAATGCTGCTTTTGTACAGCTTCAAGTTCAGATTGCCATGCCCTATCTCTATCTTGGGAGATTTTCCGAAGCTCTTCAACCCGTGCATCCTCAGAAGAAGTAATCTCCAGCAACTGCTTTCGAGATTCATCAAGCTTTGCTGACATGACTAGAACCTGCTTCCTAGCCTCATCAGCCTCCTGCTGAGCTCGCTTCTTTATTGATTCAGATGCATTCAGTTGTTCTTTTGCCTTTTTGAGGTCCTCCTGGAGTTGAGTAAGCTGGGATTCCAGTTCAGATAGCCTTCCTGGCCATTTCTTAAGCTCACAAAATAAAACAATAGGATTTTAGGAGGGTAGATAATATTTAAAACATCATACAGAGAACGGCTACATTTCAGTAAGATTGTCAACTGGAATGAAAGTTTTCCCAAATGTCTGTAACATAAGAATAAGCAGGACCTCATCATAAGTGATGATGAAATACCTCTGTTGCCTGCCTTCGTGGTGATCGGCGTTCAGTGACTTTAGGACTTCTATCTTTCAGAGCCTTACTAGCTGCTTTTGGAGAAGGAACTGCATCAGAGTCCGGTCCTGGTACCTTGAGTTGGCGAGCAGTTTGAGGTGTTGTCGGAGATCTCCTCTGGGGCACTTCTGAAGAGCCCGTCCTGCTCCAATAATCGGTTGTAAACAGTATGCATAAGCAAAGGAACATAATAATCAACCAAGCACAAAGTAATTTAAAGGAAATATTCGAGATGCCTCACTTTACTCAATTTTAGCATGAGCACAAATCATTTCATCAGATTCAACACTTACCCCTCAACGAGTAATTTTCTAACGACATTATATTATTTGCCCTTTCCATCTATTTACAGATACCAAACTAATGCAGTCATACAAATGCAGCAAAAAGGGCAATAAATTTCAATAAAATCCATATTTCAGAATCTTTGTTGCTGACTGACAGAATATACAAACCATGATACTGGTAATAAACAGATTTGACCTCAATTTATATTGAAATTCCCTTGCACTAGCAGATATCACGCAATTGGCAACCTAAATGGCCCAGTTCAAACATCTACTTACATGAAAGGTAATAAAATAGTTGTATCAACCAAGATATTGCATCATACAGAACCTATTGCTTAAATGTTTAGTATATCATAATAAGTTCATGAATCACAGTAACAAATCGCTTAATCCATGAGAAGATTTACGTGGCTTAACTTGATAAGCCACCCCAAATTAGTAAAAGGCGTACAAAGGTTGAAAGCTAGTATACAGACTGTCATTAAGTTTGAAGAAACACTGTTGACCATTGACCAAAAACACAGACATAATTGCTTAAATTTGAAAGGGAAAAATTAGATAAAAACACAATAGAAAAGCACATAATGAATGCAATGTTACCTCGCTTTTGGTGTCTGCATTATTTGCCAATCCTGCTCAGTTGAAGTGTTAAAAGGACTCTTCCAAACCCCACCTGACCCACACTCCTGCAAATGTTCAGAGAAATCTTTGGCTGAGAATGCAACATAAAAGAGTATATAATACATATACATACAAGATGCCCGTTCATAAAGACAAGCCATCCTGAAACAGTAAGTGTGCAAAGCCTAACAAACAAACAAACAATAGAATCGCTTCAAAGAAACTCCACAGAAACTACTCCCACTACCAACAACCCAAGCCACAGAGAAGAAAGAACATTTAAACAAGAAAAAAAAAGGAAAGTTGCTGCCAAGACAATTCATTAAATATGATTACATAACCCATCTTTTTTCCATTATTATCCAAAAGAAGAAAAAAGTCATCTTCTCCACGTACCTTTCCCCTCCTTTTACTCCAGTACTAAACTGAGTTCCACAGACATTATTGAAGCCAGTGTCCCAGCAAGATATAAATGATAGTAAAAGCTCATAATAGTCCATGAAGTATTGCTACTTTTTCATTTGTAGCACACAAAAGATCCCCATCAAGAAAACTGGTCTTTATGTTTCTCGGGAACATTTTGGTGCAAAGCATACTCCAAGACTACACGTCATTCTAGCATAGAACATACAAATCATGTTTCTCATAGTCAACATCTTTCTGCAAATTGGAAAAAGGAATTAAATATATTCCACAATTAAAAAACTTTAAAAGAGTCAATAATCCTCTTCATCAAACTTATGTTATTAAGAGTGGCTAATTTCTCTCGTCTCACACACCCAACTTAGTTTGTGGACAATTAATGGTGAATGGTAGCAACAAAAGGCGGAAAAAGATAATATCTTTCAAGACATGGTGAACAATAGCAAGAAAAAGAAGAAAGAAACTCCAAGAATCATGATTGCAGAACCTACTCTATAGCACAGAAAATCAAAAGGAAAATGTTAAAAATTTGAGTCTCACATTCATTTTGAGCGAAAATGATATAGCTGGTATAAATGACAAAAGGGTATAGAATTAAGAAAAGAGACAAGATTTGGGGAGAAGAAAAAAGAAGAAAAGAACAATAATGAGCGAGTTAAAAACAAAGAAGGGTAATGCTTAAATCCATACAAACTCCACCGATCCTGAAGAAAGTTGGGAACCACACACGACAAGGAAAAAAAAAGTGTTGAAGCTTGAAACAAACCTTCAACTTAAGGCAAATACTGCTGCTAAATACAAGACATGAAAACACTTATAAAACCTTTAAAAAAAAAAAAAAAAAGAATCAAGTGGGTCTTTTCTCTTCCTCCTTTTCTTCTTCTGCTTGTTGAAAATAAAGGGGAAAATGTTTAAAACTAGGAGCTTGGAACCCAAATGCTCCTGGAACCAAAAGAAAAGTTTAAAAACCCCACATTTTCATTCCAAGCAGAAATTGGACATCCTTGACACATTAAAAGAGGCCACAGTTTTTACAAGAAAAAAGATAAATAAACACATAAGATAGAACCCAAAGCTCCATTTCTGAGAAATGAAGTAAGTCTCACCATTAACTAAAAGGAAGAAAACAAAGAAAAACTTAAACACAGAGTAAGAAGACAAGCTTCGTCAGTGTTGCCTCTTTACCTGAGAAAGCTTGCTTGGCTTGGAACTGTTAATACAAGGAGAATACCACCCTTTAGAAGCAACCTAATAAAGAAAAAACTTGCAGTATGGAGCCAAACATTGCCTTAGGGACCCCATTACTGTAGCTTCTGCTTGGGCGGCTACTCTGCTCAGTTCCCTACTGTTCCTTCCACTCTCTGGCTCACAGGGTGTTAATTGTCGGTGGTGGAGAGGGTCAAGCAGATGGCCTCACACCGGATGGTGCCACGCTCCCGCCTCACGCGCTCCCCACGCTCCAAATCACGTGTCATTTTCAGTTCGTTATAACTTTTTAAAATTTTGGATTAAGATTCTAATTGATTTTTAATTTTTAAAATTTCTAACTTAGGAATATTCTATTCTAAATCACTCTCCATATTTCAATCAATTATTAATTATTTCCTCTACTGAACTTTTTATATCCAATTAATTAACTTAAATTATTACATAAGCGCGACATAAGCATTACATAAGCATGGAATAATTTTTGTAGTATTCAAAAAATTCACTACTTTTTTTTACTCAGGATGCAATTTGTGCAAGGAAATAAATTAAGTGTGTCATATACTATAATATAATTTATTAAATATTTATTTACACCTGGATTTTTTATTAAATTTATAAATAAATATAATTGAGAATAAATTGAAACGTTAAAAATCATATAATATATATAAAGATTACTGATCAATTTTAAATTAGAAATAAAAATTTAAAATTGAAAGTATATTTTTTATATAATTTTTTTTTTCAAATTCTTAAAATTTAGTTTTTGGGTCGTTGTTTGGATTGATGACTACTAGTTTTTGAATTGATATTTGTCTTCACTGATAGAATGTGATGTGAATCTTTCTCATTAAGAAAGTAGCGTGAGATGTTTATCTCCAATTTTCAAACACACACGTACAAATATATTCATGATCCAATACTATATTTAAAAAATGTATTAAGATTGGATTAATTAATTAACTTTCATATAAACCAGTCAAGCTTTCGGTTTATGCCCAAAAAGCTGTGTATATGTGTGTGCGTGTGTGTATATTTACATTGTGCGAGATTTCATTAAGTTAATTATATGTTATATTAGAGTTACTTGTAACTACTTGTAAATAGTAGTCACAAATGAAATTAATTACAAATATATAGTTTGGTTTATAATTACCTGTAAGTTAAACCATATGTAACCATGTGTAACTATATATATAAATATCTCTCCAACCTCAATTAGTGATAGATCATTACTTTCAACAAATTCACAAACTTGAATTCTTTCTTTTCTCTCATTTCCTGAGCAAGCTTCTTTTTTGTTTACACCAATTTCACTAAATCTTCGCCTCTTTATGATAGATTTTGTTACATTTTTCAAGTTTATTATAAAATCTAATATGGTATTAGAGATTCTATTGTTCTTTTAATCGATTGGTGCTCGTGGATGTACTACGAAATCATAAGTTTTATATTTTTATATCTTTGTTTGTCAGAAGTTGAAGATCTTATTGTGTAAACACTAATGGATATGTCCATAAATTCATATTTGTCAACACTGAAGAAGCTATTATGAATCCTTTCTATGCATCCGAGTGAGAATCCTTCACTCCATCTCACTTTAACTATACTCACAGGTAATAACTTTCACTCTTAGTCTCGCTCGATGCAACTAGTTTTGACTTCTAAAAATAAGTTAAATGTTTATAGATGGATCTCTCCTTGTTTCAAACAAAGATTAACATTTGTATAGTGCATGATAACAATGTAATACTTTAGTTGTTTTTTGGATAATGAGATAATTATTTCCTTCCATAGCACATAACGCAATTCGAATAGAATATATAAAAGATTTAATGGAAGGATCTGTATGATCGATTCACATAAAGTGACATAATGCTTGTTTCTGATCTTCAAGATGAGATTTATTCTCTAAGGCAAGGAACGTATTATGTTACTAAGTGCTTCACTCGGATGAAGATTTTGTGTGATGAATTCTTAAATTTGAGACATGTTTCAGTATGAGAGTGTGAATTGAGATATAGATACAATCTAGCTAATACAAATAGAAAATACTAAGAAGAGGATAGAATAATGTGATTTCTTAAATGACTAAATGAGTCCTTCAGTGTGGTAAAGTCTCAAATTCTACTGCTTGAACCTCAACCTTCTTTAAATAAAGTCTTTGTACTAGTTTTGCAACATGAGTGAAGTCCCAGTGCAGGAATCTCTACGCAATATGAATCTAATATATTGTACGCAAGTAAGACTTTTGGTCAACAACAAAAAATGACCAGTACTTACAATTATGGAGTTAATTAGGAGAATAATGTTAGAGCCAATAATAAAAGGCCAACTTGTATACATTATAGATTTGTTGGTCATACAATGATAAATGTTACAAGAAACATGGTTATCCACCGAGCTACAAACCTAAGTCAAGGAACATATCCAACATCAATCAAGTAAGTATTCAGTCGACAAAGAATAATTCGAAGCTAGCTGAATATTATAGGAGATTCAACTTTCAATATAATATTTTAGAATGTTTGCCTTTTTCCTTCATTGAGGAACAATACTAGAAGCTCCTAACCTTAATTAAACCTTCACCATCTACATTAGATGTTCCCTAAATTAACACTCTCGCAACCAACTTTTAACCTATTTCACAACCATATACTAGTTTTCTTTTACTTTATAATACTAAACTAAATAGTTGGATCATTGATTCTGGGGCTATCGATCATATAGTTAGTTTCATTAAAATGCTTGATTTCGATAGGTCAGTAGATAATACCTTTATTAAACTACCTAATTCTTAAACAGTATATGTTACATGTATAAGTGATGTCTATTTAGTATACTTTTGTTCTTTGTCATGTTTTATATGTTTCACATTTCACCCTCAATCTTATATTTATTAGTTGTCTATTACCATTTTCTCAATTTCATTTACTGTTTCACGATAATTGTTGTATTATTTAGGATGCCTACAACCAAAGGAATATTGGTATAACTAGAGAGAAGAGTGGGTTGTATCATCTTGATGTCAATTAGATCGAAAATTTTATCTCTACAATTTTTTTGTTCAAATTTCTCCTTCTTGTTTTTTCATCTATTATTACTGATAAAAGTTTGTGTCATTTTTATCTTGGTCACCCTTCCACACCTAGACTTCAAATTCTTCATCAGATAAATAAATCTATCTTACTTTCTTCATCATTTGTATGTGAAATTTGTCACTCTAGTAAACAAAAATGTCTTCCTTCTTTATAAGAAATTAAATCGATCTTAATCATTTTGACCTAGTGCATTCTAATATTTAATGACAAGTTTTAATTGTTTTTTTATATGGCCCACATTATTTTCTCACTGTTGTTGATGACAAAAGCCGAGACACATGGTTGTACCCTATGAAGAGTAAAGCTAAAGCAAGGAAACATATGGTTAATTTATTTGCATTTATGGAAACACAATTTAATGCAAAGATTAAATATGTTAAAATGGATAATGGTAAGGAATTTAATATGCTTGAGTTTTTTGCTGCAAAAAAAAATATACATAAGTATTCTCGTCTATACACACCACAACAAAATGGTGTGGTAGAGAGGAAACACCAGCATATCATGAATGTAATAAGGTCCTTAAATTTCCAAGCCAGTTTAATTATGAAATTCTAAGTAAACCGTGTATTGCATGCAACTTATCTAATTAACCTTATACCATCTTCAACCATAAACAATAAAGCCCCTTTTGAGCTTTTATTCAATTAGTTTCCAGTATATCAGCATCTAAAAGTCTTTGGCTATTTATGCTATATTCTTAATCTTGGCCCTGGTAAATCAAAGTTTGATAGTCGAACAATTAGATATGTTTTCATTGGGTATCCTTCTTGCATCAAAGAATACCAAGTGTATGATTTGCAATCCTAAAAATTCTTTGTTTCTCGATATGCTAATTTTATTAAGCATATCTTTCCTTTTGCTTCTTTACATAACAATTCTTCAATTGATTTTCTGTGACCTCATATAGATGATCCCATGACATATTATAGTGATAATACTTGGCCTATTAAATTGCAAAGTACTGAAAATCATGAAAGCTCTCAAAAGACAATTTGGTCTGATACTATACCTCACTCTTTATCTTTTAATATTCCTACTAATACATCATTTGATTCTTCATCTAGTCATATACATGAAAACAATACTCTTGATTTAAATGACCATTCAAAACTTGTTCATACTAATATTTTGCCAAGAAAATCTACTATAAATAGGAAATAACCATCTCATTTGCATGACTACTATTTGTATGGTCTAAAGTCCCTAGTCAGTTCCAACATACCCACTCCTAACTATATTTATAAATTTTTATCTTATGATAACATTGATAAAAACCATAGGTCTTTTTTCCTTGATGTATCACAAAAAGTAGAACCCAAAACATATAACCAAGCTATTAATTTCTTGTATTAGAAATAGGTAATGCAATATGAATAGAGACAGTAGAGGATAATCAAACATGGGATTTGGTTCCTTTACCTTTAAATAAAAAGCTTATTGGATGTAAATGGGGTCTACAAATAAATAGAAGAGTGTATGTGATAAGCATACAAAACATCTTTTTC